TTATATTTGGGTTCACAGGTATTGCCGGTCGTTGTCGTTGTGGTTGTGGTCGCTGTCGAGTCGGTGGTCGCCGTCTGTGCCGATGGTGTCGACAGTCTCTCCACATTCTTCTGCGCGCCGTTAATAAGAATAGCATTTGTGTTCAATGTATCGATTTTATGGCCCAAATGTGTCGTCGAGTTTGGGGTTTGTTTATAATTAGCACTATTTTGTAGACTTAGAAGCTCTCGATTCCCTGATTGAAGCCAATTATATCGAGAATATTCTGTACTGTCAGACAAATAGTGACACAAATGAATGTAAAAATATATATCAAATAAAACAAACGCTCGTTTAGTTTATTGCAATTTTTGCGAATACAATAAAAATAACTCCTTTTTATAGACAGACACAGAGAATGAACAAAATTGAGATCAAATATCATTAGATAACAAGAAGTTTGTTTTTTATCTATCAAAAGAGAGTTATTTTATGTGTCTGTCTCTGGAATCGCAACAAATTTAATATAAAAACAAAATTCAATGCATTTATTTATAGTACATATTTTCGTTTCCCTTATATTCCTTATTTAGTATTACAACAAATATTGTCTTTTGTATCTAAATATTCATACGATATAAGCGTAAAATTCGTGATTAACTTAATTTATAACATAAATTGACAATAAAGTTAACTGAATGTCCGATTGATATATGAATTATAAATACCTAATAAAAATCATTATTCATATGAAAATTATTCCACAATTTTCTATGTTTTTTTTTGCAAATTCATGAATATTTCTATTGTTTACAGTTATCCTTATAATTCATTATATGATAAAACAATTTTCTATGAATTAACGATCAAATAATTTTCCATACATTTGTAATACAGTATTACTAATAATACAAATGTATTCTGTCTTTGTTTGCATAACTACTGTACTGTAAATTCAATTCAATTTAACTAAATATACCCCAAAAATAATGCACCAAAAAGACTGTAATTGTGGCCAAAATGGCATAAAATGGAAGAAATGTTTGTAAAGATATCTTACATTCGATTTTGTTGTAAATAAGCGATAATAAGGAAGAGTGTAATGAAAAGAGTGGCCAAATATGACAGCTTTCGCGACATTATAACAACGGGTCTCAACACGTGTCGGGCCGTCCATCTGCTCATAGCCTTTACCAACGAATGCCGACAATTGTCGGTCAAAAATCACAGCCTTTTGCTCTTTCAGTACGATATCATCTCAAAAGTATTGTTGTCTCACTATTTCTCAGTTTGAATTGCATTTATTACGCAAACCAGTCATTCGTATATCGTTTATAATACTGGAAACCGAATCACATCATCTGAAAATACAGAATAAATTCATTGAAAATATTGTTTCTTACGCTTAAATGGATAAATAACTTAATAGTTAATTGCGAGAGAGACTATTAAGTTATTATTCATTTAAGCGTAAGAAACAATATTTTCAATGAATTTATTCTGTATTTTCAGATGATGTGATTCGGTTTCCAGTATTATAAACGATATACGAATGACTGGTTTGCGTTATCAATAAAAAGAAATGTTTAGAGACTGAAATGGATTGTCATTTTCAATCTTTTACTCCATAAATGTAAAAATTAATATTTTTGAGTTCAGTTCTCACTATATTTCGCTTTTGGATGTTTTATGACTAAAGAAAAATTGCTTTTGAATTAAATTATTCTTCAGTATAAGTCACGCAACGATTATATTTATATTAAATTCAAGGTTTTGTCATTGCATTGGATTTTAATGAATAAAAATTATATTGATATTTCGATGAGAAAAGACAATTAAAAGTTTTAACTTAATTGTATTCAAATTATTACATAACTGTATGAAAAGTACTCATATTTTAGTCAATAATAAGACAATTACTATTTTGAAACATAAAGTCAAACATAAATTGCAAGAATACAGTAATTGTATTATTACTTACATTTGTTTTCTTTAGGTATTTGCAAATTTGTTATGACTTTTAAAATAAAATTAGTTTAAAACATAAACTTTTGCTTAAAAAGTAACTTATAACCAGAGTTTTCACATAATCTAATTTTCGCTTTCAATAACACTTTTACCTTTTTAACAAATGATTTCTTTGTAAAAAACAATTAGTTTTGTATTTACTAACAAATGGTATAACAATTTATTTGAAATAAAGATATCACTTTCATCTTATCTATAAGCGAATAATTAAAAGCAAAAAATAATAACTATTATGTTTAATCATAATTGTACTGTAGTTTACATGACTTGCCTTAATTCACATGAGATGTAAATCACAGATACAATCAGTAAAATCAATAACAAGTTTATAAAACTTTTAGTTTATTTGCTTTGAGAATATAATTGCAATTCAGAAATGAACATATCTATAAAAATTATTCACTAATTTATTCATAACTTTCTTTTGATAGTCATATCGATCGACGAATAAAA